AGAGTATTTTAAAAATTAAGCCAACCTAGTAGTAACTTACACTAGGATGCTGATCTCAATAAATGTTGAGCCTGAACATTTATTGAGATCAGCGTCCTATCTGTCCTATGATGTTGTAATGCTTTAGATTATAATACATAGGAAGCTTTTTCTTTGCAAGTCTTGGTGCCTGCTTGATTTGTGGGTCAGACTCTCACGACTGTTGTCTTTATACTTATTTTCAGTCCTACATTGGGACAGCGTATGCGCAGACCAGCCACGGAAAAGATTTCCAGATCTTTCTGGTATACTAGGAGCACCTCTCCTCCCTCTGGCTCTTCCCCACCAAAATGATCACATGGCTGACCTGGTGGGGAATGGGTGCAATGGTGCACGTTGGCCTGTGTTTTAACATTGCCCTGTAGTGTCTTTGCCTGCAAAAGACGTGTCCGATGCACATGAAAGGGGAGGAAACAGTGTTTCCATGGGCTCTTTTGGCCTCTCCTGTGCATGAGTGATCTTCATGAGACTCCCGTGTGATCCCCAGATAGGTTCCCCTCCAAAGAGTTCTCCAAGGCCTCTTGAGCTTTGTCCTGAGAACTATGTTGCTAGGCTGCCGAAGGAAGGGTGCTGTGCTTCTTTGCTTTTTGCCGTACTCATTTCACACTGCTGTGCTGGGCCAACATTCTCTCTCTCTCTCTCTCTCTCTCTCTCTCTCTCTCTCTCTCTCTGCAGGAGCAACAAACACAGCAACACATTCATTGTCTCTCAGCAGCAAGGAGGTTTCAATCAGCTTCGTCAACCTCAATCCGTTCTACAAGCAGGGCTTTCCATACACTGGCAAGGTAATATCCCACCCTCTTTTCTTGGTATAATGTAGTCACTGGGCCAAACCACATGTTTATTTCCAAAGCTGAAAGGTCCTTAGAGGCTGACTTCATCCCTTCCTTGACACAACAACATGTTAGCAAGAGGTGACAATCAGCACCTTGAATTCCACCTGGGAACAAATGGAAAGCTGGTGCAGTTGCTTTAGAAGAAGTGTTATTTTTTAATTTATTAAGCATTATTTATAGTCCACCTTTCTCGCTGCGACTCAAGGCAGATTACACAATGTAAGTCTACACGCAGTCAGGACAATGACGAATATCCCATATGCAGCTGAACAGGATTGAATCATAGGCTGTGGTCACACAGTCATTTTGATCGGGTTTCATCGCTGTTCCCTCTCGCATTTAAAATTGCTGATCAGATGCCCACATTCATCTCCCACACCGAAGTGGGCTCGCTCATGCGATCCTCTCAGTTCCCTAGCAGGCTTTCTGACACCGGGAAAATCAACGACTTTCCAGGTATTTGCACTTTGAATCTATGATTTGCCTATCTGGACAGCCATCTCTCACAATGATTGCAATTAGGGTGTCTGAATGTCCTTCTTCCGGTAGGGGTTTTTTTCCCCGACTTTAACCATTGTGCGCATGTGTGTGCATGTGCACATGCACACATGCGCATGCACAAAGTTATTTTAAAATGTGCTGCGCCACCACTTGGGCAGTGTGATCATCTGAACCCATTAGAATATCCCCAATCAAATCTACAGCGGGAACAAATTGTGGTATGCTTGCTGTGTGACCACAGCCATGGAGTTGGAAGGGGCTTCCAGAGTCATCTGGTCCAAACCCCTGCACAATGCAGGGAATTCACAAGTACCTCCCCCCTACACACACACCCAGTGACCCCTGCTCCACGCCCAGAAGATGGCAAAAAACCTCCAGGATCTCTGGCCAAACTGGCATGGGCAAAAGCCCCACCTGGCTCTACCCACTGTAAAAAAAAAACACTTGGCAGATGCCTGTTCTAGAATGTCATCTCTACTGACCAGCATCACCTCAGACCTGTCTAGATTCAGTTTCAATTCGTTCTTCACTTGCTTGGCTACTGGATCCAGGCTGTGGTTGGATGGACATAATTAAGCCTCCAGAACTAAGCCACTAAAGAAATACCGAGCTGAGTGTCATCAGCATGTAGTAAGATGGTAGTAAGATGGACTGCCCCACTATATCAAAGGCCACACAGACATTGAGCAAAATCTATAGAGAATATAGGTAAAGGTTTCCCTTGCTCGGAAGCCAGTCGAATCCGACTCTAGGGTTGCGGTGCTCATCTCCGTTTCCAAGCTGAAGAGTCAGCGCTGTCCGAAGACATTTCCATGGTCATGTGGCCGGCATGACTCAACACCAAGGCGCACAGAACGCTGTTACCTTCCCACCGAAGCGGTACCTATTTATCTACTGGCAGTTTCTTGCTTTCGAACAGCTAGGTTGGCAGAAGGTGGGGCCGGCTCACTCTGTCTTGCGGCACCTGGGTCTCAAACTGCTGAACTACCGACCTTCCAGCCTGCAGTTTAGCGTCTTAACCACTTGAGCCACCGCAGCTCCTATGATAGAGAATATACGCCTTCCTAAACTGATGCCAGACATCAGAATAGGGGTGCCTGGTCACTCCTAGCAAGTGTGGGTGTGTGGGTGGGGGTGGGGGCTTACCACCAGGAGTGGGAGGGAGGTGACATCATCATGTTGCCCACATTGTAAAAACTGCATGGGAGAAATGGCTTCTGCTACAGAGTTTTGCCCAGATACCAGAACGTCCCTGCGATATCAGCAACACAGGCCAGAAATGATATTGCTGCGTTACCAGCAAAAGCAGCATGTCAGCAAATCCCCTGCCGGCCAGCTGATTGGCGACGGGGGGGGGGGGGGGGGCCCCGCCCCCCGGCAGGGGGGGGGGGGGGGGGGGGGAGATGCCCTGCACCCAGTGGGGGGCTGACAACCCTGGATCAGAAATCTGTTTTAAACCTGGTGTCTAATTCAGAGCACAGAAGAGATTTTGTTGTCAGAGAACCCGGTTAAACCAGTGCAGTGAGCAGCCGAATTATGTTCCTCCTGCAGTGGCCACCCTAAACAATTGCGCAGCATTCAGCTACTGCAATTTTCAGGGGAGAAGGAAGCTTCCTTCACGGTCATCACTGCCACCTCATAGGCCAGACCTCTGTAGTGCAGTGCACCCAAAAGGGCCTGCCCCTGATGCCCACCCACAAATGAGACATATGAGTCCAGGCACCATCTCTGCATTCCTGAGAAAGGAGAAATACTCATGGAGGACCACAGCAGCTCTCTCTGTTTAGGGTTGGTGGTGGACCACATACCTTGCCGTTGTCAGCAGAGAGAGTATAAAACAAACTGACACCACCTAGCCATGTTTTGGCCAAAGATGGCTGGTTTGTGTATTCCTCAACTACCCCCCACCCCCACCCCAAATAACTAGGGTGCGTGCAATCTTATAATTCATAAACTTTGTAGCAGCATGGCTGAAAATGGGGAAATGGCAGTCCAAAGCTGGAACAAAGATGGTGAGAGGTCTGAAGACCAAGTACTATGAGGAAAGGTTGAAGGAGCTGGGTATGTTTAGCCTGGAGAGGAGATGACTGAAAGGTGAGATGAGAACCATCTTCAAGTACTTGAAGGGCTGTCCTATAGAGGATGGTGTGGAGTTGTTTTCTGTTGCCCCAGAAGGTCAGACCAGAACCAACGGGTTGAAATTAAATCAGCAGAGTTTTCGGCTAAGCATTAGGAAGAACTTCCTGACAGTTAGAGCGGTTCCTCAGTGGAACAGGCTTCCTCCGAAGGTGGTGGGCTCTCCTTCTTTGGAGGTTTTCAAACAGAGGCTAGGTGGTCATCTGACAGCAATGGCTAATTTTGTGAACTGAGGCAGATCATGAGAGGGAGGGCAGGAAGGGCTGCCTCAGTGCTTAGTTCTCATGGCCCTTTCTTACATGCCCAGGGTAATGCTGATTGCCATTTTGGGGTCAGGAAGCAATTTTCCTCCGGCCCAGTTTGACCGGGGATCTTGGAGGTTTCATGCAATCTTCTAGGCATGGAGCAGGGGTTACTGTGTGTGTGTGTGGGTATTTGTGAATTTCCTGCATTGTGCAGGGGGTTGGACTAGATGACCCTGGAGGGCTCTTCCAACTGTATGAATCTATGAACAGATGCTACATTAGACAGAGGACAGACTTCAGTACATCTCTCCTCCTCTCTCCCTACACATTCACTCCTCGCACTACCAGACTTCTGGAATGTTAACACGTTTGCCCAAATGTAGTTGACCTACATCTATCAAGAGAGCAATGCTGATTTTTGCCAAAGTGAGATGCAGCAGTAACAGGTGACCATCCACTAGTCAGAATCAGCCACGATCAAACTCCCTCCCCCTGCCAAAGATGAGCTACTTCACTACAAGTAAAGGCCCCTTGGACAATCAGATGTCCCTGCAAGAGAGACAGGTTAGAGGGGCAAAGGCAACTGCTCCTCTGAGCCTATCAGCAGCCACAACCATCAAAAGCATCAAGCTTCCAGAGAGTAGATCAGATCAACAGGAGAGGAGGATCCAGTGAAGGAGGTGGTAGATTCCTGTGAGACACTTGTATCCTGCTTCTATAAAGCAGGATGGTAGCTCAGTATTAGAGCATCTGCTTGGCATTCGGATGGTCCCAGGTTCAATCCTCAGGATCTCCAGTAAGGATCAGGTCATAGGTGATGGGAAAGGCCTCTCTCCCTTAGACCCTGGAGAGCCACTACCAGTCTGAGCAGACAATACTGACTTTGATGGACCCAGGGCATAAGGCAGCTTCATTTGTTCACTGACAACCTAAACTGCAACAAAATATTGTGTCGTTTACTGCATGGAAAAGCATAGCCTGTAAGACGTTTGGACTTAAAGAAGGTGTCTGTTTCACTTTTATTCCTGCAGATGAAAGTTTCTGCTAACAGTATACCTGTTCGGAATGAGACTGTATATCTCATGGTTGAGGTCCATGATGTAGAGACACACCTGCCGTATGTCACAGATGAGAATGGGGAAGTCCACTTCTCCCTAGACACGACGAACTGGAACGGCACCCTGGTTTCCATACGGGTGAGTTAAATGGTTGCAGGACAGATACAAAATGTGAAAATCAGCACCAGAGGCTAAGGCAGCTGCATACACTCTGCAGGGGGGTGTTCGACGAGAAACAACACTTTTTAAAGGCTACGAAAGGCTACTGTCATGTATGTGGGTAGTTGCCCTGTGCATGCAGTGCCATCCTAGCTCAAAATCTACCATTCTTAAGAACAATACTTTAAAGACTTGGATAAAATCTGCAATCAATTTGTCTGGCATAAAATGAGACCTCGATTCAAATGGAAAGTACTGCAAGATAAAAAAGAGAGAGGTGGATTCAGTCTACCAAACTGGAACTTATACTACAAAGCAGCAGCATTAGGATGGATAAAGGAATGGTTAACATTAGAGAATATAAGACTCTTGAACTTAGAAGGCCATAACTTAGCTATGGGATAAGAGGAGCATTAATAAAAATCTGAAAGGAAATAAAAGACAGCTTTTATGAAAAAAACCCTAAATGGGTATCACCTTTAGAAGCTTTCATAAAACCTATGTTGATTACAAATGACAAAATAGAGAGCTATGAAGTCTTTAAAAAAGGTTCCCTTACTCAAAAGCCGGTCGAGTCCAACTCTAGGGTTGCGGTGCTCATCTCTGTTTCAAAGCCAAAGAGCCAGCGCTGTCCGAAGACATTTCCGTGGTCATGTGGCTGGCATGACTAAACACCAAGGTGCACAGAACGCTGTTACCTTCCCACCGAAGTGGTACCTATTTATCTACTTGCAATTTCTTGCTTTCGAGCTGCTAGGTTGGCAGGAGCTGGAACTAGAGACAGGAGCTCACTCCGTCATGCGGCAACTCAGGTCTCAAACTGCTGAACTACTGACCTTCCACAACCTGCAGTTCAGCATCTTAACCACTTGAGCCACCGCAGCTCCTTATGAGACCTTACTAGATAGAAATAACAAATTGAAAACAGAGGAGAATCTTCTAAAGTTAACATGGTGGGAAACTTTACAATTAAAAACCAGATATAACAAAGACAACAAAATAGGCTTCTATGGGACAAAAAACGATTTGGATAAGATTTGGTTGTCTACAAATGATAAAATGATTCAAAAGTTATACAATTTCCTGTTAGATGATTTTACGCAAGATGAAGCAGTAAAAACAACAATGGTTACTTGGATGCAAGATTTAGGACATAATATAGACTTAGAATCTTGGTCCAAAATTTGGAAGGTAGTAAAGTTCATGAGAGCAGTACCCTATAAAGAAAATATCTATAAAATGTTTCATAGGTGGCACTAGTCACCTGATAAAATAGCCAAATGTTACCCAAATATGACACATAATTGCTGGAAATGCAAAAACAATGTAGGAACTTTTAACCACATGTGGTGGAGGTGTGGAATAATTCAGAACTATTGGCATAAAACACACAAAACAATAATGGAAATAACGAATATCTATTTACCCTTCACATCAGAAGTCTTTTTATTAAATATGCTTCCTGATAGTTGTAAAAAATTGATACATATATAATAACTTATATTTTAACATCTGCAAGAATATTAGTTGCTAAATGTTGTAAATCAGATAGAACACCTTCAAGAGAGGAACTAATACAAAGATTGTTGGGAATTGCGGAAATGGACAGGTTACATATCGTATTACAAGGAAAAGACGATGAATTGTAGTCCAAAAGATGGACTAGAGTGTATGCATGGTTAGATAACAAGTTTGAAAACTAGACTCAAAATACTGTATACTTTTTTCGTCTATGCTGTTATGTTAAAAAACTATAAATTAATATACAAAAAAATGTAAACGGAGCATTATATACATGCTGTTATTATTAAAATCCACAGACTAGGCAAAAAGAAAAAAATAACAGCTTAGTTGGCAGGGGCTGTGGCTCAGCTGTAGGACCTCTGCTTAGCCACAAATAACAACCACCAAGGGAAGACCATCAACAATTCACAGCTATATATGATCAAAATTGTATATTGCATTCATTAAAGTACAAGGATGGGTTAGTGGTCATAACCAATGCTCCCTCTCAGCTGTGGAGTCTTGTGAGGAAAAAATTCTACTTTGTGAGCTACTGGCATTAAAGTTGTGAGCAAGCAATTTGGCTGTGGCATACATTAGTTTGCTTTGGAGCCATCCTTCCTGAGCTAGGACAAAAATGTGCGAGCCGGAGGCTAAAAAACTGTGAGCTAGCTCACACTAACTCAGCTTAGAGGGAACACTGGTCATAACCCAATAAAATATATTAACTGATATCCAACAGATTGCTCATAACAATTAGGCATTATTTACAAAAAGGTCGCGAAGAGTCGGACCCGACTGTGCGACTGAACAACAACAACAAACAAAAAGGACATGTCCAAAAACCAACACTAGGTTCCTCTGTAATTCCATACATGAATAGGGTCTATAGACCTCCAAGCAGAAAGTAACTGTGGCAGAAGACGCCCAGTGTGGAAAGACAAACATCCGTACGTCTCTCCCAGGTATCAATCAAGACGTTTCAATGATCTTCAACTGCAGCTGGCAAAATGGAACCTGATTTCCAAAATAACATAGGGACAGCTCGATAATGTCAATGGAATCCTAGGGCTTTAGGATTTATTGATTTTTTTTGGATTTATATCCTGCCCTCCCTGCAGTCTCCAGTTATGACATGTTTATTATCTATGTTGTTCCCCCCCCCAGTTGAACCCAAACATATGATACCCAGAAACCAAGCTTGTTACACTTTTTATCTGTTAAAAAGCGTCTTCACTATTTTGCACGCTAATTTAACAAGCCACCCTCTATATATACAGCTGTGATCTGCAGTTCCATTTCATTGTCTGACAAACTGTGCATGCACACAAAAACTCACAACTTGAATAAAACTTTGTTAGTCTTAAAGGTGCCACTGGACTCTAACTTTGTTCTGTTGTTAGTCTAGAGTTCACGTTAAGGCCCTGAGAGTGGTCATTTCACACGGATACATCTGTTTTCTTCCCAGAACTGTAATCCTCAGAACTGTTTACAACTTTCAACATTTGAAAACTCGTTGAGATGGGGTTACCAGCTTGGGTTGGGGGGCAGAGACTAGGGAGGGCGGGGTTTGGAGAGGGGCGGGACCTCAGAAGGGTATAAGGCCATGGAGTCCGCCCCCCCCCCACGAAGCAGCCATTTTCTCCAGGGCAACTGATTTCTGTGACCTTTGAATTAGTTGTAATTTTGGGAGATCTCCAGGCCCCACCTGGAGGATGGCGGTCCTAGGTTGCGATCTGCAGGAAAGACTCTTCCTGGGGCCAGATTAGAATTTGAATATTTTCCTACCTGAAATACTTCCATCGCTCCCCAGCAGAACGATTTCATACGTCATTCCAGAACACCCTTGATCGACTGATTTTAGTTCTTGTCCCTGCTTGTGCCTTTTGTTCCTTAGGGCAGACATTTCATTGAAAATGTAACCCATGATATTGCCAGTAGTATAAGGATGCACCTGGAAGCATTCAACTGGCTGAAGCCCTTCTACTCGGAGAGTAACAGCTTCCTTGAGATCCAACACGTCGAGGAAAAGCTGCCCTGTGGAAAGGATCAGGAAGTACTAGTGGATTACATAATCGATCGGAAAGAACTGGGCCCCGAGGCTGACCACGTGGATTTCTATTACTTGGTGAGTATCCAACAGGAGCCCAACAAACTGGTTTTACTCTGCTTCGGAATTGGTGCGGATGCTCCCTCTGTTGCCGCTATGCTTTCGGAATGATGTGGACATTACAGTGCAACAATAATAATAGCATTTCAGTAAAAACTCTATGACGACCATAGAGTTGTTGTTTTTTAAGCCCCCGGAGGAGATTTTTTACAATATATATAATACTATATAAACTACCAAGAAAAAATGGGGATAGGGGGACTACAATTTTAGGGAGAAAGAAAAGATAACCCACACTAAGCTAAAAACCCAAGGTTAGGAGATCATTCCCTGTTAAAATGCTGTTAGTAAAAGAAAAGGCTGTTAATAAACAATATACTTTGTGAGATCCTGTCTTTCTAAGCTTATATGTTAGATTGTTACTTGTTATGAGAAGATTTCCCGAGCATCTCCTCCAGCTTGTTTCATAAAGGCAATTTGCAAAGTCCTTCCGCCTTTACATCTATACTAAAACTCTCTAAATTCTTGATATCTTCTTAGACGTTCACTGCAGCCCAATCTTCTTCCATCCAAAGGAATAGAACTGCTAGTCTTAAACCTCTTTCGCTCTGGTCTCGGGGTCCAGTGGCTTCCCAAAGGTTTCTTGATTATGAAGGGTACCTTCAGCTCCTTTTTCTCAGCAGACTTTAAGATGACACTTTCTAAGCACACACACAGAGAAGAAGTCAAATCCTTGTAAATTTCTCCTGTTTCTCTTGTGCTTTTTCTTCTTTTCTCATTGAGATCGCTGCTTAATTTAGTGTCTATCTCATTCGCTTTGAGAGCCCTCAATTCCATTTTTTCTCCACTCGCCTCCCGGAGCTGCCGAGACACAAATTGTTGATTTATCTTGGCCAGCTGCTGGTTAATACCAACAAGTTGCTCCAAGATCGGCTTGATGGCTTCTGCTACTAGTGCAGTGATGTCAACTTCCCTTCTTCTCCTCACAGTTTTCGCCATCTTTAAAAAAAAATAATCTGCCGTTTCAACGTTTTAGTTTTAATAAGGTCTCTTTCTTCCTGGCTCTGCAAATCATATATGCTGTTAAAAGCTCATGGAAATCTCCCACAACAGGCTTACACACTTGCAAATAAAGTCTTTCAGAAGTATCAGTTTACAACTGTCTTTCTCCCCCTTCCCTCTTCCATTTATGTAAACGCGTCAAAGAGGCACCCCCTCCAATCGCTTAAGGGATTTCAGAGGGGGGGGGATTTCGCTTCATGTATCCATTTACAATCGTTTCTCTCTCCCTCCCCCTCCTTGTTTATGCAAATGCATTGAGAGACGTCCCTCTCTCAGCATGCTATCGCTCAGAAAGTTTTTCCTTTGAGAGGGAGGGGATTTTCTCTTCTGAAGACAAATCACTCATTTTCACTCACAGTTCGCTCATTGTTGGTCTTATCTTGACCTCACTCTTAATCGCTCCTACGCTAGATCTCCTGTGCTTGATCGGGTCGACACAGCTTGTGGCCTC